CGATTTAAATGACTACCACTTTGGTTTTTATCGTTATTCTGACATTTGCCAAAAGCCTTTTACAACTATTTTATTTTCACTTCTTTTCCCAAGCATAGCACAGAAATGCGCATAGCACAAAACAGTCAACCCGAAAGTGATGTGATACAAAGTTATCGTCAATTATACATTTGTTTGTGAGGATGATTTTTCCTACGGAACAATTTCCGCGCTTCAGTAAGCGTAGGCGTGCAATTGTTGTTTGTTTTCGAATTGGATTCGATTCATTTACTTGTTTGTGTTGGCCTGATTATTTCTACGAAAGTAGTAGCAGCAGCAACAGCGTCAAAATCAGAAGCATGTGTATATTTCCATAAAGTCTGGTTAGATTATTGGGCCGAAAACACCAATCTGTTCCCCAAAAAATTAATGGCATCCCCACTGATTGGTCGGCCATGTTTGTAAGCCCGTAAATCATGGATTATAAAATATTTATGCGAAACGCTTGATTTGTTAAACGCACAATTTATTTTCGGTTGCCCTATGTAGCCATAGAAGAAAAACTCATATGTGTGAGGACGATACCATTGCATGGGCGACAGCGTAAGCGTGAATATTTTATTTCTATTCAAGCGAGTGTATGCTATACACTGTACGGCGGTTGGGGGATGGTTGCATTTCATTGTTGTGCTTAGTAAATAAACTACGGCAATTAACCCCACTTATGTATTCATGTGAACATAACTCGGTGCTAAGCATAAAAAACGTCGGGATTTTGTGCTACAATATGGCTCTGAATGCCAAACACGGACACAAATAGAATTATTGAAAAGAACATCCACCAACAAAAACAAAGCACACCAGTTTAATAAAACTCATCTCTCGGAGTATTCGCTGGATAATAATAATTTGCCGTTCTTTTTAAAAGCACTTCCATCCATAATTTCAGCTTCATTTTTCCTTTGTGAGATGTGAGAATGGGGTTTTGGATTTTTTTTTCTCATCAATCGTTGTTCTTCTTATGTACGGGTAATGGCAACGTCGAAAATTTCATTATTGATATTAATTAGTGTGAAAAATGAAATTTGGCTCACTCGGACGGTTCACCGACAAGTGAATCAAAGTGATGAAATTATCAAAAGATTATTACATTTGTTGCGAAGGCACATCACGTTTTGCCACCGAATGCGTAGGAGAAAAAAATCCGTTGAAAGCGTATGCGTGCCGAAGCGTCTTCTCTAATTTCGCAGTCAATTGTATGAAAATGAGCCTATCATGTTAGACGCGGAAACTGGTTGAAAAGAATGAGAGAGAGAGAGAGCGCACAAGCAAAGATAGCGTCAAGAACAAACGTATCTAACCAGGTAAAGACCGAAAAACCGTATCGTCAAAACTGATTCAAAGTCTTGGGTACCCAGAAAAAAATGAACAGAGAAAAAAATTCGCATAAATCGTAAAGGAAAAGGTCAACAGATAAAGTCACCCACAAATTTTGCAGCTGTTGTTGTTTATGTTTTACACTATTAACCGAGTCAGACGGGTCTGTCGAGAGTAAGAGATAGCTTGAGTTAGAAAATAACTTAATACCGAGAAGACTGCTGCGTTTGCCATACTCGAAAATTTGGAGAACAAAAAAAACGTCAAATCATCGGGCTCATGATAAGTAAGCGAACGATAACGATATCACGTTTAATCGCTCCTATGAGCTTTATCGTATCTAATTTCGATGATTTCAATGCATGCATGGGCATGTACTAATGATACATATTTGCCGCATAACGGCAATCATATCAATTGTTATTCGATTTTGTTTCGATTTTCGCATTCTTTCTCTCACTCACTCTCTTTCTATATCAATCGATTGTAAGAGAAACGTATGTCAATACACATATTGGTCATTATAAACTGCTTTCTTCTATTTGTACGTTCGCTCAAATTGACTTTCAGATAACCTCGTCGAAATGAATCGAACGAATATAATTTCTATTTCTATAAAAAATTTAATCAAGTTGTGAGTTTGCCGTAAGTTTTTTGCTTCTTTTATTTTCTCTTCAAGAATAGAGTAGATGCTTCTAGTGCTAAAGGAAATGTGTGGTTTCACAGATAATGAAAACTTTTTGAATACTTTTACAAAAATAAAAAAAGAATCGGTGAATACAAAGGGGCAAAATAAAAGTGAAAGTTTTTACTTTTAATTTTTTTCTCGCTGGCACAGCAAAAGCGTCCACTTTAAAATATTCAAAGCTTTTCCATCGAAACTGTATATTCGGAGGGTATAATCAAGGATACGTCATCGATAAGAGTACGGTCGGTTTTTTTCATTAAGCAAACGAACACCACTCCGGTCTACTGAAGCGATATATTTGCTTTGGAAATTTTCCATGCTAACATTTCCCATACCGATCGTAAATCATCTCTTTTTTAAATCGTACGAACTAAAATCGCTCAACTGGAAATGCAAACACAATGAAATTCATTTCATTCACTCACTACATTGAAACATTTCATTTGGAAAGAGTTGTGCTATGCGGTACGCACGCAAATTTTAATTATTTCTTTTAAATTCTCCGGATGGTATTGTGCAAAAGCATCCAATTAAAACTATTCTACGCAATCCAGCGTGTACATTTCACGCAATTGTGGACAAAAATTTGAATTTTATTCGTAAAATGTATGCATCACATTGTAATAACATATAGTGATTGTGTACAGACATTGTACAGACATTGTTTGAACACAAATTCAATGAATAATTTAACTAAAATGATGATTTGCTAAACTTAAAATTACTTCCTCGATACGCCATCTATTTGTTGGAGGAAAAGCATTTGACGAATTTGCGGCGATAAATTTAAATCAATCCCCATGTCAACAATCGTTACAATGTTGCATTTCTACTAATTGGAATGAGCGACATTCACAACGTTTCATTCGACAAATGATATTTGTTTTTATGTATACAACTGTTGTGGAAAAACTTTTACAATGCATTTATGTGTATATTCTAGTTATTTTCATTTTTTCAAATGATGAATTGAGTGCAAAGTGGGAGAAATCGTGACGTGCACTCTTGATGAAATGGTTTGAAAAATTGAATTATACTTTCATTACTTGTTATTATTATAGTTATTATAAGTTAGTTTGAAATTGTTCGTGTCTCGTCTTATCGTGATGGGAATTTTACACTTCAAATTGTCGAAGGAATCGTTGACATGATATATCAAGTCGTAAAATTTCTATGAATTGGTCAACCATGGAAAATCATTACTTTCTCCATCGGACGTCGTTCTCCGTTACACAGCTTGAGTAAAACACGAGTTTCATCCACTGCACGATCAATTCATTTCTTCTGTTACGTGAGTCATACTCTGGAAGTCAAAACTAATTTCGAAATAATTTAAGTAGCTTATTGCTTAATTCAAGCGAATGACAAAAAAAAATTTATTCTGAAAAAAAAATGCCATAGATGTACGTGATTTTGTGGCACTGACCTTGTCTTAAATGGAAGAAGAAAATTCCAGAATGGCAAAAGACTATTTATCGAAGCGAAATGTGACGAAAAAAAGTTGAATAGGGCTTTATTCGACTATGTTCATCAATAAAATCAATTACGGTTTATTATGTCCCAATTTTTCGATTACGTACGGAAGTATGAACAGGAAATCGATTTCCTGTGAACAGAGTCACATGCAATAGCCGAAAAGAATTATTCATTTTTTTTTTTTGTGAAAAAATTAAATATTGGTTTTGGGTCAATGGAGACTAAACGATAAGAAGTGGAATGGCATTCACACCAGCTTTCAAGAAATGTGTTTGAAAAACATCAAATAATCACAGTAAGTGGAATAAAAAAAAATTTAATTACCTTGGGACAGAAACAGATTCTTTGAAAAGATATGATTACGAATAATGAAGGCGGAATTAACCAGTGTGGAAAACTATTTGATAATTTTTGTGAAATACATCAATTGTGGGCGGATCTTTTCACGGAATTGGAACACTTCGTTATCATTCATTTTTCCTCATTTTTTGTCTCTTTTGGTGAAAATCACCGAGCAAACCAAAGCCTTGATCGATTCCCCATTATGGTAATTTTCCGTGAATTTTTCATCAAAGCAGACACATTTCACGTACTTGCTCACACTCTTGTATGTACATGAAATGTAGAGCTACTAATCTGGTTTTTTTTCCTAATACTTCTTTGAGCCATGAACAGAATTAGAGTGGCTTTCAATTTTATGCCCATATTATTTATTAAATTTAAACCAGAGGCAGTATGTATCTTTCAAAAAAGAAATTAAACCAAGATCTTGTAATTCATTATTGAGTTAACTGAGAAAATCTTTTTTCTGTACCTACTTTGTTGGAAATATATATCCTTCGTATTATGCTTTTAATCCATAGTGTTATTAAAAGGGACGACTTTTAAAGATATATTAATGCAAAGTTACTTCGATGAAATACATTTCATGTAGTGCGTAACTAAAATCTCAAGAACGCAGAGTGGAGGGAAGCGACTTGTTTTTTTATCTTCTCCAATGATTTTTCATACCCTCGGTAACCGATAGCTCATTTACAATGTATAGCTGCGTAACGAATGTGCATAATTCTGAATCGAATATCAAATACTTCTCGAAAAAAAAAATTCCATTTCCTTTTTTCACTTCCCTATTTTTTCCCCTATCATACACAACATCGACATTTCATCATGCAAAACTCTTAATGAAATAACTTCGGTGTAAAAATAGATTTTCCACGAAAGAATTTCCATTCACAGAACGGAATATTTTGTGTAAGCCATCCCGTGAATTTTATATTGAATGTTGATTTTTTTTGCTTCGTTTGGACGAACGCCCATTTCACGTACCACACATTTATTTTGGCACTCTTAGCCTAAGTCGCTGTTATCAGATTAAAAATGCCTAAGCAAATAATGTAAGAGAAACATTTTAACGAAAATAAAAGACTCCCATCTTTGGCCCACTTTCAAAACAATCTTAACACATTTAATCCATATTTACCTTGGCTGAACTGCTCCTGCTCACTCTCTCTCTCTCTCTCTCTGGCTTCACACCAACGTCATAAATTTCGTTCAATAATTTATTATGACCACAATAAAAAAAAACGATCTTTCACGATTAACACAAGCACAACATCAACACCAAATCAATGTTTTGATAAGGAGCAATAAATAAAACTTTATTTCCAATTTCGCCTTTGTTTATTTTTAGAAAATGTATTTTTCTCATTCAAAAGTAATTTTCTTGTCTTAATTTGAATTTCAAAATTTGCTCTTTTCTCGGTAGGAAATAAGTTTCATTCAAATTTCCAGGAAATTTGCATAAAAATTAAATTCGTAAACTTTTCTCTTCTCTGAATTTGGCTTACTCAATCGGAAACACCCTGGAATTCCAATTGTTTTTTTTTTTTGTTCTTCTATTTTCAGCGGAAGGAAATTGTTGCGTAAAATCAGTTCACTGAATTTTCCACATAATCACTGATCACACGAAGCCAATGGTTTTGAATGTAAATACTGTGTGTTGAAATGTGAGCACTTTCGATTGGCGTGTATCACATATAACGGTCGAAGCACAACTGAAACCCAACCAAGGTATTTCATTCAAATATATTCGTTTGGGGTTTTGATGGTGGAAAAAAATATATCAGTGGAAGCGACAGCAACGGCAACAGCATGCCATCGACAGTACACCGAATATATTGCATGTGTGCTTTAACGTGATTGTCGAATGGAGAGGACAACATAAACCATGTTGCGAGTTAGCTTTGAATCAGTCATAGCAAAATCCAATCGAGTTCAGCCTGTCTCTGTGTGTGTGTACGAGTGATTTTGCTCAGTTGCTTGCACATCCGTCGGATAGTGTTCACTCAGCACACGGATGGAAACGTATGACGAAGGGTTTGTGTGTTTGCACACGAATTCTTTCGCTTGCCGCTTCGCCGCAAAATCAAAGAGTAAACAGTGCGACAATCGTAATAAATGATAAACGACAAGGCGCAAAACACGGACCCAGTGGCTGATGAATGAACTGTATATTATAATGGAAAAAGCAAATGTTTCATGCAATTTTGCATATTTTCATATCCTCTTTGTTGTGTCTCTCAATTGCTTCATTTTTTCCCCTCTTGTCAATGTTAAACGGCCTCTTTGATTTAATGAAAACATAACGGTAACCGCTTATGCACAGCAATATTGCCCGTAATGATTCAATCGGAAAAGTTAAATGAGTTCTTTTTTTTCGAAGTTACGACCATGACCAAAGATTTTATCGGCATTGAATTAAAACCAAATGATGCACATTTTAAATTCATAAATGATGGAAATTTCAGTTGAATAGTGTTCATAGTTCAGTGGTTTCTTTGTTTCTCAATTAAAGCGTTCTTTTTTGGAATTTTTTCTTTTTTGATGAACACAATTTTCCATTTGGTGCTCAATTTTTGAACAAATAACGTTTCGAAGTGCTGAACATTCACTTCGATAAAGAGAAAATTCCGATCAATAAACTATTTTTAAAATTTAACAAACAAATTAAATGGATGCATTTGATAAACAAAAGACGCGATATTATAAAGGGTTTTAATATCGCAAATGCGAATATAATAAAATGCGATAATAAAATTTGAATAAAAAGTAAATATGGAAAACATCTTTCAATCGTCGAATAACATATGCACCGTGAGCTCATCGTATTTTCATTTCAAACCATCCACTTGAACGTTATCAAAAACAAAGCTTTATTGTCGAAAAGGCTTTACAAATGGACTGTTAATGCGTTCAAATATTTGTTGTTGTTTTTTGTGCGGAAAAAAAACTTTGAATAACATTCTATTTATCCTTTTTCATTACCTTGGAATCGGCTTTGAACGCCATCTATTGGATAGCTTGTGAAAAAAGCGAAAAGTTCGTTTTAGAACAATGAAGTTCTCTTTGAACTGTTGATGGGTTTTGGCTATGAACCACTTTGACATTTTTTTAAGAATCTTCTTCAATTGCAAATTTGGCTACCAAATCAGATCATGATTTTGAACGTATGGCCAGTGTAGTGAAAAATAACCGCAATATCGAAATATTGCATATCAAGTACTATAGGTTTTTTGGAAAATGAGAGACAAAAAATTGAAAATTCAAATATAATCAGATTGTTAAATGAGCTACCAAAACTAAAAGAAATCACCCTAGCTGATCAACATTGGCAGGAACAAATTGGAAAATAAACCGAAGCAATTATTTCTATTTTGTCAGAATGCAAACGTATTACAAAGTTGACTGTATGTGATACATGGGATTATATTTATCTTGAACAAGATAAACTAAAGGAATTGATGGAGTCTATTGATGAGAATGCCTCAATTGAAGAGTTTGACATTGTTTCATGGGATATACAAACTGGTGTATCTGAAATCGGTCTAATTAATTTACATAAAAGTGCTGTAATTTCGTTGAAGAAATGAAATATGTAATGAAATATCTCCAGTTACGATGGAATTAAACCTGAATGTCTAATTATTGTCAAGATGTTGATGGTATACTCTGATAATTTTAATGAAAATGATATGTGGCTCGATTTTATTCTATTTGGAAAAAATCTGGGTTTTACTGAGACGTACATGCTCTTTTTCCTTGTCAAAATACAACATTTGATGAACAAATAATTAAAGGCATTTGCGCCAAACCTTTGAAGAAAAATACGATTTTGTTTTCATTTGAACGCTAAAAACAAACACTTTCCATTTCAATAAATAATCGAAAATAACTAGTACATTCAAGTAAACATATAGAATTTTATTTTTGAACAAATTAAGTTTCAAAGTAAATTTTAATAACTAAATAAAGACGCAATATTATGCATGTTTTTGTCATCAAAATGAGGATGTAAAAATGTGCGATAACACAACGTCAACAAAATATGTAAACGTAATCAAAAACGGAGTCTTATCGTCAAACAGCCTTATAAATGAGCGTTTAATGCATTCAAGTATTTCATTTTTTGTGCGAATAAAACTTTGAGTAATATTCCATTTAGCTTTTTTTTACTTTGAAATTTCTTTCGAACGCCATCTATTGGATAGCTTGTGAATTTAGCACAAAATTTGCATTAGAACAACGAAGTTCTCATTATCTTTTGATGGGTTTCGACTACGAATCCCTTTGACATTTCACGTTCGTAGTGTTCGGGCTGTCACTTGTTGATGTATTTCACAACTGCGAAATATCAAAATGTTTTCAAACAGAACAGTCGCAATTCTGGTGTAGCATTTTTTCATTGAACTTTGTTTGGGTCGGCAGCAAGTGAAAATATCCCGAATTTCTGTACAACACACCGCAAAATGGAGCCAAATGTCAGTATTAAATTGAAATAAAACAAATTTTCTGGTTGAATGATTGGAAATTCAATGTAGAGTTGTTCTTATTCGATTCTGATAATGATTTTGTCGACATTGCAAATTCTAGGTTTTGTCGGCGAAGATCATGTTCACAGATGTTGTGAAGCGAATGGAAAAAATGTCCAACTCAAACGACATGGCTTTTAAAAAAATTAAACTCAGAAATTTCTTCGACGCCATGTTTGAGATGCAACAGAAATTTCGCGCTGAAAACGGACCACAAGCGGTAATTTTTGATATTCAGTGACAAAATCAAAATGGATTTTCACTGTAAAATTCTGACAATCAAAGCAATTTCCTATTTTAATCATACTTATATTTCATATACAGAATGCCAGCTTTTATCCATTTTTGCGAATTTTTCTGCCCGAATATGATGAAACGGAACGTGGTCCATATGGCATTCAAACCAAAAAGTTGGGTCAACTGTTTGTCAAAGCGCTAGCGATAAATGCCAAAAGTGACACCGCAAAGAAATTGACAAATCTACAAGGAAGGGATACCGACTATGGTGACATTGTGTTTGAAGTCATGAAAAGTCGTTCACCTGAAAACGGTACACTCACCGTTTACGAAGTGAATGAGTATTTGGATTTGATTGCTGACCATTTCGAACAAAATGAACAACGCAGTAAGTGTGATTGAACGTAGACACTTATCGCATGCGCTGTTGAAGTTATGAATTTTCCCATGAATCGAGCTTCTTTTTTTTCCCCAGAAATCGATAATGAAATAGCTCGCATGCTGTTGAAAATGTCGGCTCTGGACCGAAAATGGCTGACTCGAATCCTGTTGAAAAAGTTGAAGCTGGGCTTGGGTAAGCAGTACATCTTGCAAACGTATCATCAACATGCACCGGAATTATTCAATAAATCTTCTCACTTGTCACGTGTTTGTGAGCTCCTTGAATCAAATTTGCCGATAGATGCAATCCGAAAAAGAATCATTGAGTTGTTCAAGCCGATTCGATCAATGTTGTGCGAACGCGGGTACATCTCAAATATCAATGGGATGCTCAGTAAACATGCCTACTATTTGGAAACAAAGATGGATGGTGAACGATATCAGCTTCATGTGAATGGCACTGAATTCAAATACTTTTCACGCAATTGCAAAGAGGAGATGACACAAATTTTCGGTGCAAACAGTACAACGGGTTTGTACTCTCCATATCTGTACCATCAATTGAATGGCAAGGTGCGAAATGCCATCTTCGATGGAGAAATGATGGTGTGGGACCGTGAAGCTGAGACTTTTTTGAAAAAAGGTACTTTCTTTCTATTCGATTAGTAGTTCTTCTGATTTTATAGTGCTTAGATTGAATTTGAAAATGAAAAAATAAAAATAAAAAAAGAGATTCAATGCTTTGAATAATCTTCTTTATTCGTACAATAAAATGGAATGGAAATTATTGGTTTTTTTTTCGTAAATACAGCTGAGAACTTCACTGCCAAACACCTGACAAAAAATGATACAAAGTTGATTCCCTGTTACTGTATTTACGATCTGATTTATGTGGATGGCGAGTGTCTCATCGATAAGCCGTATGCCGAACGCATTCGAAAGTTGAAGACCATTATCACAGAACAAAAAGGTTCATTGATGCTATGCGAACGCATCAAGCTGCGTGATGGTGCCCACTTCCTCGAACTCTTTAACAAAGCATTCGATTCAAACGAAGAAGGAGTTGTCATCAAACAAGAAGATTCCAAGTATCGACCGGGGCAACGTGAAAAAGGTGGATGGTTCAAAATGAAGCCAGATGTAAGTCACATTGTTTTCATTATTTAAAACATTTTCAACAAAAAAAAACATTCGATTTGATTCGATGTGAAATTGACTTTAATAACATGCATATCGTATATGGAAATCTTATACTTAATCTATCAAATTATGCCATTTTTCCACATCAGTACGAAAACAACTTGATCAGTGACTTTGATTTGCTAATAATCGGTGGTTATTACAACGAAAAAAGAACAGCGGTCGACAGTTTTTTGCTGGCTGTTTTCAAGAAAACCTCTATCGAAAGTGATGCTGGTGTGTTCTACTCCGTGTGCAAAATTCGAAATGGTTTGAAGCGGTCACAATTTGCCGAAATTTTGGATAAACTTCAGCCATACCGTCATGAGATCGGAGGTCGTTGGCAAAAGCTTCCAGATAACATCGAATGGGCGAATGCAAATCCAGATTTTTGGTTTGATCCAAAGAAATCAATTGTTTTGAAGATTAAGGCGAGCGAATTGACGCAAACAACAACATACCGGACAAGCCATTCTTTCCGATTTCCACGTGTGATGGAAATTCGGTATGACAAAATGTGGTACGATACCTGCACTTTGAATGAATTCCAAACTTTTTGCGCAGTAAGTTTGACATTGTTTTTTGCTTTTTCATCGACAATTTTGTGGTAAAGATGATGGTGAATGAGCCAATTCGTTTTACAGTCCAATTCAAAGGTGGAAAAATTAACCAAACGACACGCGACAGCTAATGATTTGACGTCCGGTGCCACAGTTCCAAAGCGACAACGCGGAGCTGTTTCAAAGACTCTGCCACCTGTTACATCCGCCTCAAATGAAGTAAATTAATTTGATTGATTAACTTTTTGGAAATTTTTTGAAATTTGCACATCGAATCTAATTCATTCTGATCAATTTTAGATGACAGTTGACAACGTTTGCCAAGGGCGTGAATTCCACATTTTGGGCGGTGATAAACAATTGGAAGCTATAGTCAAGCGACACGGCGGAAAAGTGGTTGGCTATCCAAGTATGTTTTTGTCTACTTATTCAACCCCGTTTTTGCATTTTACATCATAATTCCGACTTGTTATCAAAACAACATTTACGTTTTATTCATTTTGTCCTAGATTTAAGAACATTTGTCATCATTGCCCCGAATCCGAAATCAATCAATGCTGGAAAGTTCATCGAAAAGAAGCAGTACAACATCGCCACGAAAGAATGGTTAATTGAAGCGCTTGGCAGTGACCAGCCTTTGACTGAATTGAAAAAGTTTACTGCAGCTGACATGGTCTTCGCAACGGAAGAACTTAAAGAGCAATTCGACGCCGAATTAGATGAGAATGACGATTTTGAAACGCCACCGATTAATTTTGAAAATCTGAGTGTGTCTGTCGAGCAAATGGATACCAATGTATGATCCCTTTTCAATGGTTTTCTTTATAAATTCAAAATAATAATGAAAGGAATCAGAAATGAAATTAAAACTTGACATTTTTCAGGATCAGTCAAACTTCGAGGACAATGAGCCGAACGAAGATGAAATTGATATATTCGGTCATGTTCCGCATATGCCAAACGACGTCATTGTCGATCAACCAGAAGCTGGTGAAAAGGTTGCTGTGCCGATGGATGAAGCACCATCGAATGTAAGACCATTTAATTTGGCATGAAAAAGTGGAAAAATTCAAATAAATACTGAACTTTGTTGTATTTCAGGATCAACCAATTGACCAAGCAGTTGTTGAACCGATCGTTTTGATCGACGAGCCTCAAGAAATGGAGCAAGATGCTGCCCTAATTTTCGATTCAGTATACGAATATGATACACAACTCATTGAACCTGTGATCAACGAAGAATCGGTTGCTGTTGCAAACAAAGTAGAAGCGATGGACGATGTCGACCCCACACAAATGTTCAGCCCTTTCGTCGGATATTTTTATCACGACGAATCTATTGCGAAGAACATCGACATCACGTTTGCAGAATGCGCGTTCATCGGCGGTGGCGGTGTCTGTATGGATACACCGGATGACATTCGAGAGTCATCATCGCGATTGACGCACATTTTTGTTGATACCGACAGCTTGGATCACGCCAAGCTAAAGGGAACCGTCAAGTCATTTGGTACGGAAAATATCGACGACATCGTGTTTTTGCGCTATCAATGGGTATCAGACTGTGACGCTCAGAAGAAACGCATTTGTGATACGAGCTACAAAGTTGAATTGTAGACTCAAGATAGGCCCATGCCTATAGCTATTAAGTGCAATTTAACGTAAACATTTATTTTTCTAAACCAAAGAAAAGAGAGAGAGAACGAAACGGTACTTTCGCAACAGAAGCCTAGACATAAGAAATCAATCATCTCGTGAATAATATTGTACATACATTTAACAATTTGCTATTGCAATTCATCTGTCAAAGTAATTACATACATTTCAACTTGTTTAAAATTAGCCGATAAATTAAATGTTTCTAATGGAAAAAGAGACGAGAAGAGAAGCAAAAAAAAAAGATGCGGTTCAAGTAAATAGCTCAGATATTCAATGTGTCGAATATGTTTTGAGAATGATGGATTTGAGCGGATTACCATATGGAATATTTCAGAAAAAGAAGTGAAAAGCGAGAAAACGCACACACTTTTTTTTGTTAAACATACATAAATTATTACTAATGGAATGCTGTACGTCGACAAATTTGATGGTTAACACATCGAACCCGACATTCGAACCAAAAAAAAATAACACCAATCGAATATTTTCCGTCAAATGTAATCAATTATTTCGAAATGTAGTTGATGCAAATTGAAGAAGAAGAAGAAGAATTTTTTTCTGTTCATTATATGATACAAATTTATGTTAGCCACAAGTTATTTTTCCTATTGGAATGTAATTCCTTTGAGAGAAAAAAATGTATTCGCTGCAGCGATTGAAAAGCAATAATATTTACATAGTTAACATACAACTAAATCCAATGTAACACCAAAAACACTTCTGAATAAAAGCCAAATGACCGTTTATTCAAATACTAAATGAATTTGCATTTCATTACACTATTGACAATTCGCCCCATTATCCCGAGTGAGTAATTCATTTGGTCTAACCGTACACATACGCTAGACGCATTCGACAAATATTGATTTTCATGGGAAATCAAGAGAGATACCTCTCTCCTTCTCTCTCTCTCTCTCTCTCTCTCTCTCTCTCTCTCTCTATCTCGTTCAGCTTATTCATTCATTAAATTGTCCGACGGATGCCCTTGCTCATATTTTACAGTTAAATCCAAAATTCCAATGTCTACAACGCAGAATGACCAATGAGTATTCAAGCATGGTTTTAAATTGATCTTTGATTGACTGATTCCAAGGGGATGGTGGATTTGAATAAATTATTCTGTCCATTGGTTTCTCGGGTGACACTTGAAATCCCAAAATAACCCAACAGTAATGATTGAAGATGATATCGAAGAAGTATTTACAATATTGATAATAGCCGAGTATCAAATGTCTTAGACATCAACTTAGACGACTAGATATGCAAATTTAAATACACAAAACCGATACTCGAAATGCTATCCTGTTGTGTACCCAATTTGTGTTCGAAAATCTTTTGTATGTTCCGATATTTCTGCAAAAATATGCGTTGAACAGTTTGTTCATTCTCTTTCGCAGCTGAAAATCGGAAAAATAGCTCACTTGAGAAAAATCGTCTTGTAAAGATTTTCTCTAATTTTCGAAAGGTTGGACAGACACGCAAATTCCAACCGTTCGTTTAATTTGATGGAAATTGATTTTTCTCTAGCTCTCTTTCTCTCTTTTGAAATATCGGATGCCAAGGAGTCTTCGAGAGATAAAATTAGAAAGGAATTTTTTTCGGTGTATGTGAGTGTGTCAAAGGTTAGTCAGAAAAGGCGTCGAAGCTTGATACTCAATTGATACCAAATTGGTTATTACAAATTTATTGCCAAATGTCTGTTGAGTGTGTGCCTTGTTTATTTTTCTCCCATTTGTCTCTCTTGTTCCTTCTCCTTCGTATCTCATTCGGCACTCGCTTTTTTTCGTTCTTACTTGTTGCGTAGCGTTCGTGCTTGTGTTTTCTTCAAAATGTGATTATTTATGTATCCGTTCGGTGCATATCACATTGCTCACGCAAAATGTTTTCTGTCATGTCGTTTTATTATAGGCCGGGGCACACGGATCGTCGTCAAATCGATTTTACGTTAGAATTTATGTATCTGTGCAATTAGATGCTGTCGGTGAATACAACAGAGCTCAGCGAATTGCTTCTTAGAAAAGGAAAAAAAATACAACATCGGCCAAATAAAAATGGAGGAAAAAAAATCATGACATGTTTATGAGCTAATGCAACATATTGCAGGTTCTCGTAGAAAAAACATTCCATCGCTCGTTCCGTTCTTAGTTTGATCTCGTCGGCATCAAAATGAATACTTTTATTGCACGCTAATTGTGCATTGAACAAACACTTGTGTAGCGTGTGTACACTGTACATCCAAGCAAAGTAAATTTCACAGTACATTTAATTCTTCTGGCATTTCCACAGTGGCTTTTGGTTGGCTGACAACGGCAGCGACAGCAAAGACGGTTGAGGTGGCAGGCGAAGGCATCAACAGCACAGTCTAGGCGAATACGCTCTTTGTACTTGAGCACGGCGTGTGTATGAAGAGGTTTTCGGGCGCTCTGCCCCATGTAACACGTACACTTGTTGAATGTAATAAACGTTTATGCCGTCAAAATGAATAAATTATTGCCATTGTCTTATCGAGGCACAAAGGCGTTGATTGTATCGACATGCTTCGAAATGAATAAATGAGCCAGATGAATTGATACAACGCGATTTTTGCCATATGATTTTCTTTTTCGATTATAGCGCGACGGCATCCCATTTCATGCGGCAGCATTCATTTCACGCAAAATTGATATAATGAATAAAAATATGGTGTTTCGTTTCGCCTTTCTTTGCTTTCATCACGTGGCATTGCTTGTTTCATTTGAATAATTCAATTGATTTTCGCCGATTTTCATCGGCGCGAGCGAAAAAAAGCGCCATACCAAGCAAATTTGATACGATATTGCACGTTTTTCGACGAGATTTGGATATTGGATTTTGAAAATTACATAATTTTTTCGTACAATCCGCGATTTGTATTGAAATTTATGAACTACTGTTTTGCGAAAAAAAAAGACCCCAATTTCCGTACCTTTCAATCAAAGTACTCGATAAATGAATTGATACATCATTGTATTTTTCTATTGGCAAACACATGGACGTGTTCACTTGCGTTGAAGCATCGTCAAGAACCTCCCATCGATTGGAAAATACCAATAAAATACTATGTGTCGATGTTTCGCTTTGCCGTTTTCCTTTCACTCTCTTCTCTCTGCCCAGACACTTTGTCTAGTGCCACATTGTGTATCTCATTCTGACAGTCACACTTGGCCGAGATTTTGCTGCTCCTCAACAAACTGAAATTAAGAGCACTAATTTGTTTATTCATATTTTTCTGGTTGTTGTTTTTTCTCTTTCTTCGACTAGTGTGTGTGTGTGCGTGTGTGTTTGTTCTGTCTTCCGTTTGAAATGCAGATGTTTGTTTTGAATGAGAAGTGTGAAGTGGCCCGTTATTCTTTCCCTGCCTACTACTAAGACTGTGCTCCTAATGGAAATTTGCCGAATCTCTCTCTCTCTCTCACACACGCTCTCTCTTTCTCCATTCCTTTCTCGCTCGTTCGCCCGTCCTAATACCAAAGCTAGCGTAAAAGAGACGAAGAAAACGAAATGAAATGTGAAAATGAAACAAAGTTTGTGAAATGGGATGATTTTTGTTAACAACATTCTTTGAGTACGATTTTGATCTCTCTCGCTCGCTCGCTCGCTCTTGCTTCACCATGGTTGATACATCACATACTGACACCGAACATTAAGTGTATCGCATTGCTTTACGCATTTGTTATAAATAAATTGGCCAGTGAAAAAAACCTCGTCAGTTATCATTTACACGCGAACAAAAGTGTTTCGAAGCGAGAAAAAAACGAACAATTCTGTTGTTTGATCAATTAAAAGCCATTTATAAAGTGTGAGTTTAGCGTGTTATTTGTTGAGCATTAAAGTTTCCTGAAACACGATATACAGAAGAAGAAAAACCCTTCAAAAAAATAAACGTGCAGGATTTGAAGCATTTCTTTCATTCATACATTGTTCCACGTATTTTGTGTGTGTCATTTTCGGAACCAAGTGTAAAAAAAAAGATGTCGTTTGATGAAGAATTAATTAGTATGAGTCCCGAAGATGTGTTATCAGTGGAGTCGCAAAAGGCAAAGCGATATCTTCGTACACCAAAATGTGCGAGATGCCGTAATCACGGTGTAATTTCTTGCCTAAAAGGTCATAAAAAATTGTGTCGATGGAGAGAATGTATTTGTCCAAATTGTCAACTGGTTGTCGAGCGACAGCGTATAATGGCGGCTCAGGTACGATCCAATATGTATTACCATCCGTATCAATCAATTGAATACATAACATCGCATTTTCATTTCATTGAACTTTCAAGAAGACAAATAGAGAGATAGAGAAAACGAAAATAGAAAAAGTTCGTTAGTTAATAAGACAGTTAGGTTAAAGTTTTATATCGACCATCGTTGTTGGTATTGTCCTTACATAGATACAACCTGAAGCTGACATCCATCTAAATTTGTACGTTTGTGTTATGTGGTTTTAGGTCGCCTTACGACGTCAGCAAACCTCTCAAGATGCGAAAGGGATTGTTGATGTTACGAAAACACACTCAATGGAAACGCTATTAGCACAGAAACGTGTTTACCAAAAGCATTTACGCAGTATCCAACAGTCGTCGCTTGCTCGGAACATTTTGCAAGGTACGTGCCATTATTCGTTGTGTCTATTTAAATTCTAAAAGTGGAAATTTGGATTTAAAAGAGCCGTGATTAGGTCATTATCACTTAGTATGCATGCGGATTAGATGAAAAGTGGTTCTTAGCCCGACGTTAATCGGGGGAAAGAGAGAGGGAGAGAGGGAGCATTAAGATACTCAACAATCCCCATTGCAATTATTGAAATTTTCTAGTCTCTTTTGTATAATTATTGAATTATGCACGCTACATACAAAAACACCTCCACCGACACCATCTAACACGGCACGCAACAAAAATTGTAACAAAAGTCCATGCCATTCATGTTTTTTTTTCGAGATCATGTTACAGGAAACCAAATTTTTTTCTCGCTCGACTTATGAATGGAATGATAATTTCAAATTGGATGCAAAAGGAAATGAGAAAAATTCGGTCAAAACCTTCTTGACACAATATTTTCCAACACTTACGCTGTGCTTGTTTTCTTGAGCTGAATGAAAATGGAGAAGAAAAAAAACGGCCGGAAATAAACCAGTGATTATTGACTTTAGATAATCTCCGTTAAGCAGTGCATGTGTTCCATTTGGAGAAATTCGACACATTTCGTTTGTTTTTGTTTTTAGAGGCCCAGTGTTGGCGAAAGAAATGTTTCAGTTTCTTTTTCCGTTTTTGTGTTGTGCCATTTCGATTTGATTCAGTTTTATTTTCACACAAAGTTGTAAAAACAATATCCTGCATATGTGTGTGCTGGAATGTGAATGGTCCAAATGGGCCAAATGGGCTGGAGAGCCGGAATGGTTCCATGCTGTTTCTTGTGGTTGACCTTTTTCTAGTTTTGCATTTCACTTGCCATTTCATCATACTTTGTTCACGGTGCAAACTTTCCCCATTTGATGGTTTGTGTGTATCATATCATAAATGTATTAATTTCATTTTTATTACACATGCCCCATTTCCCAATGTGACGAAAATAAAACCGTCTAACAATGTGAGTTTTCAAAGTTTTATTGAAATAATTTTCAATGGTCACGGTTTTGGAGAAGAGAGGGAAAGAGAGTGAGAGGAAGAAAGAGAGTGAATTTTAAAAGGTCGACGGGTTTCGCCAGACAAAGTGTCACCATCGTCGTACGGAAAACACATATGAAATAAACGAATGAAATTTTATCCTGTCATAAAAATATTTTCGTCATCATACTCTCACTTACTCATTCACTTCGAAATGGAAAACTCCTACCGCGCGAAAAGGTCTCTGTAATTTATATGGTGATAAAAACAAATAGAAAAATACGAACGGCAACAAAACGAAGACGAAGCGAAAGATAAAACAAAAATGTCAAAGGACGTTTGAGTGTTGAATACACATCTGAAGCGGAGGAAAAAAAAACATATGTAGTCATTTGACACTTTCACTGACTGAGTCCTTTCCACGATGCTGGACAAAGCAGAGAAAGAAAGAGAGAGAGGAAAAGAGCAACAGACATTTTTTTTTTCTCTCGTTTCGCATTTTTGGTGTTAAAAAGGCATCACCAAATGCTTGGATTCAAATTACCCAGAAAAAGGAAAAGTTACTCAAATACCAGAAATCTCTTGTTGAACACGCGGAATAAATCAGATTTTATAGCTCTACTATTTCTCACTGATTTATGTTATTCCAGTTGGTCTTTGCAGAAGTTTGCCGGAGCGACTCTGCTGATATTTATTGGTCACGATTTCGTACGGGATATCCACAAAGTTTTTAAACAAACATCGAATTGAATTCGATACATCGACTTATTGTCGAAGTTAGGAATATGTGTTGCAATGAATTTCTATGTGAATCCACAAGTTGAGTTTTCCCTATCAACTTTGTTCATTTAATTTTCACAACCAAATCAATGTAACAGATCAAATTGTTATATTATTCTAGGTCAAGAATAAACATACAATATATCAAATTGCCGCTGTCAAATATTTTCGGTTCGCTTTCGCTTGGCAAAGATGCAGAACGCGTACCAAACAGGAAAAAAAAGAAGAGAAATAGCGACAAACATGCGGTTGACGAAAAGAAACTCCATCGAAACATAATTTTCATGCCCTTTTCATGCTTATTCTTCGGTGCGTTGGTAGCAGCAGTGTTTTTGTGCATGGCAGACATACCGTCTCCGTGGTCCCAAATTCTCAACGCATCCTCATCAATTCTATCTACTTTGCTTGTTCTCAATTTCATTCATTCTCTTTTTCTCTTTCGTGTTTGCTTCTCAATCTTCGGCCACAACAAGAAATGCTGCGTGTATAAATAAGATTGAAACATTATCATTCATTCGTTTGATGAGTTGGAAATGTGTATGTGTGTTCATATTTTCGGTGTATAATTTTGTTTTTTCTGACAACGATGCAGAAAATGCGTCCGTTCCATAGCCGCTGGGCCTAGAAGTCGTTTCCAAAATTCAATAATTTGGTCGTTGTCGAAAAATTTCCCTTATTTTCGTTGTTCCACCGTTGAGATGTGCGTGTATGTCGATTTCATTATAGTAGCAGTTATAAAGTATGGCGCAACTCGCCACTGAAAGCTGTAGACTCTACGTATTAAAATCGTACCATCAGTTCACTCAGTTGCGGTGTTCTTTGGTGATGCCAGTCGTTGAATTGTGTCGTTACGTTATTTTCCGTATAATTGGTACGCATGTCATAGATGCTCTTTTTCACCCTCATGACCGTCGAATTTCGTTGGTTTCTTTTTTGCTCTTTGCTTTCGTTCTCTGTTTTCTTGCCGATGCTATTAATGCTGCCGCTGCCGCCTACCTTTTCACAATTCTCAGCGTATTTTTCGTGCCATCAGCTTTCCACCGTCAAGCCGCCACTGCCGCCTTTACTTAATCCGCATCACCGCAACAGTGAGCAGTTTTCGCTTCGCATTTAATGTGAAAAATTAAACGGGTGACTGGATTTTATGAGTGCTGTAATTTGATAATATTCTTCCTTTCAATTGACGAACAATTTACATACATAATATTCATATTTTGCCAAACAACTTGAACCACGCTCTCTCTCTCTCTCTCTCCGCCTTTCGCCACATTTAGTGAAAAAATAAATAAATTTCTCACCGAGTATAATATTGAATTTCATGCTTATTTCACAGAGTACAAACGATTCCCAATGTACGTGTCACCATTAACGGAACGAATGCGAAAGCGTAAAGCATTTGCTGACAGTGAATTAGAGAGTAGCGCCCATTTATTTGCATTACCCACCTCTTCATCTGTCGGCAATTTATCATCACCATATTCGCCACGCTTGACGATACCAATCATGCCGTTAACCATGCATTTATCTAGTATCATCGATTACAGCACAACACAACAATCAATGAAAACAAACGAAAGTGAATCAATCGACTATTTGCCCGCACCAACATCATCACCACCATCGCCGCCATTATCATCACCACAACAGCAACTAACACCATTATCGCTGCCACCGTTGTCAACAATGGACAGTTATCGATCGAACGAGTATGCGTGCTCAGAATCATCACAACAACGAATTCGAATAATTGATGATGCTAAACTCACGAATATGAATCGACGAAACAATGATTCGTTGATTTATAGTCCATCAACAAATGAAACAAACAACCATTGTACCATCACCAATACCACTGCCACCTCCGCCAAACCGAAGCTGTCATTTTCAATTGAATCCATTATCGGGATTAAATGATGTTTTCCATAAGAATTTATAAACAATGCCATTTTCACCCGTTTATAGCTCAAAAGCCATTGTGTTTTATTAAAAAGAATATAAAAGCCACACAAATCAATTGTATTAAAGTTCAATGTAAACCAAAAAATAAGAAAGAACGCCTCTATGTTCATTATATATGTACTGTTTAGCTTATTACTTTTAAGTTGATGATAATAAAAAAATGCTCAATTAAAAAATACGTTCATCGACCAGCTTTTCTTTCTCAATTTCTCAATCTAATTGTTTGAATCTCAATGCCTTCAGATTGACAGCCATCGGTTTGAGAACTGGATTGTGATTCAATGGAGTGATTGCTACGCATTGAAACGGCATCGGTGCCAGTGATATAGGTAACAGCCGTTTGCTGTGTGTTACGTCTTACATTGTATTTTTGGCGATAGCCCCGGTAAGTGATGAAAACGATTCCCCCAAGGATGAAAATGGCAGAAAACACCATTCCAATCACACTGGCAGCCGAAATATTTGAATCGAACACGGTGACACGGAATTCATCGGAACATTCACTATCGCTTCCGATGGGTTTCGCCACGCACATCCATTGACCTTGATGTTGTTTACGATCAACTTTTTTCACAATTATCGAACAATAGCCCGAGCTCATCTTACGATTTGGATTAAAGTAGTAGTTATCCAGCAAAGGACTAAAATTCCAAATAACAGTTATATTTATATCAGTCGATGTGAACCATATTTAAAAAAACAAACACGTATGCATTACTTGTGAACGGTTGATTTCTCATTGATACTAAAACTTTTACCATCCGGCTGCAAAAACCGACAATACTCCAAAGGAACATGCTCTGGAATGCTATGGCATTCAAGCACCATAGAGGTAGCCTGCTGAGCGTCTTGAAATAAGTTTGTCGAAACCAATGGTGTTTCTGTACGAATTTAACCCGAATAAGAGTCAAGTATTTAATGTGGTTTCCGATGCCATAGTGCAGTAAACTGTTGTGAATGAAAACCACTTTGAGCACGACGAACAAACATTCTTTACCTGCGATACGAACACTGATTTCTTGAACAGAGTCTGCTGACGACTGCTCCGTTGCGCCCATATGACACGACCATATACCCGAGTGATTGTGATTAGCATTCAAAATGGTTAAACCGCATTCACCGAGCTTGATTCCAGTTCCATAATACCTTAAGAAAAACCATATTCTTAATAAGCTAAAATGTTTAACATGTATCGATTTTTTTGTGCACACGCCCGAAAATAACCTGTATATGTCATTTGAATCATCGGGTTCTTTTTGGTCAGACATTGAGATTATTTGTCCAGATGGATCTCGAAACCAGCAATAATCGGTTGGAATGTATCGCTTGCATAAAATATTCACTTGCGTGTCCTGTAGACCATAAACATCGCTAGATTCAACGTCACCTGTTTAAAAATGTATTTTACTTTGAATTTTACATATCGAAGGTATTTTCAATGTAGCGTTTTTTTTGCTGCTCAAAATGGAAAAGGAGAGAAAGAGAAAAAACGAGAAACAAAATTATGAGTTCAACCTTGTGAGCTAGTTTTTTGTGGAACACTGCCATCAATGATGGCTCCCATCGTTTTCAAATGACCGTCATCGTCAACACCGATGAAGCACTTCCATGGCGATTTATCGCTGTCGTCTGCGTTCGCAATTGAAATGCCACATTCACGATTCGCAAAACCGTTGCCAAAGTAACTGATTCGCTCTTCACCTCGACCGTCTTGCAAATTGAAGCCAGTATCATCGTTCAATCGCAAAAATCGACAGAATTTCAACGTTTTTCTCGTATTCACCAATTTACATTTCATATTCAATGACGATGTGCTGCTATTGTGCTCAACAAAAGTTTGAAACTGTTCAACTACAATTGATAAGATAAGATAAGTTATATGCACGCATACATGTACATCATTTCATTTTATTTTCGGCTCTGATTCCATTCTGCTTACCATTCGTCTTGACATTCACTTCAAATGTTACCTCGTGTGTTTTACCCTTGACGCCTGATACCACATTCCAAATGCCATTACCCTCGGCATCACTCTTGAATTTGGGAAAATCACAATTTTCATGTTGGGGAAACGCTGTTTTCGTTTGGTCGGGTCGCAGAACGTAGCAATACTCCGTTTGTTCCAGTGCAATGTCAACATCTAACGAGTCGATCTCTTTTTTTGCCGGTTGTTTCGGATCCTCGGCTTCGATGGAAATGATATCAATCGAAATATATAAAATTGTTTGTTCCTCGTAATAAATTACTGTGGAAGAGAGTCTTTCTCTCTTTTCTTTTCGAAACGCAATAACTCAATAAAATCGGAATATATATATATATGAGGCTGTGAGAATGAAAATGGCAATACAGGAATAAACATTCTGAAACGAAACATAAAACTGCAAACACGCAAAAGTGAATCATGAATGTTTGAGCAGCAGCAGTGAACCATGAGTATCGGCACGTGTGCGTAAATTCATGATTCGCTTCAACACAGTGCGCATTCAAGATTCACTTTTGAGAATTTTCTTTCTTACTCACGTACCGCGCCTACCCG